AGATAGCCGATATTTTTTCTCACTCCAAAAGTGCTTAAACTCCCTCGATATGGCTTTGGTATGGGAGCAAATGGTGGCGGTTAATGAGACGTCATGTAATCGAAGATGTCATTACAACAAAAGCGCTAAAAACAGGAAAAGGAAAAAAAGATGAGGAAAAGGAGAGGAGGAAAAGTGAAGAGGAACGATAGTTATGTATGAAACAAGCCGGAGAGCATAAATAGCAAGCTATTTGAAAACTTAGGTATCCTGCTGTATGTTTTAACTGAACCAAAAAACACTCCGTGATTTTGGTCGTAGACATCGTCCACTGTGATCACGCCTTTAATTTTAGCGTATAGGAAACAAATCTACCTAAAAGCGCGAGCACTTATCTATTCAAGAACTTATTACAGTTACATCTCCTTCCTTTAACTTTTTTGCCCGAACCAAAAGAAAGTGCGTAAACTTGTTAACAGCAGGTAGTGCTCACTTGAAGTGCGCCTTCAGTTTCGTCGCGTAGGCAATAAACTTACCAGGGAACGCTAATAGTTATTTATTCGAAAACATGTATTTATTTTGCTCTATAAGCTTTGATTGAAATGCGCGATTACTATATCGGTAGGTATCATCCATCCGAAGTTCGCCTTCAATTTTGCGCATAGGCAATATGTCCACCAGGGAGTACAATGGTTACGAGAAAAACACACATTAATCTCGCTCCATGAATAATAATTGTGATAAAATGTGTTTTGAGAAAATTGACGCTAACCCTTTTTATTCATTTATCCAAAGAAAACTTCAGATTTTTTTTCTTTTGATTTTTTAAACCTTTCAAACTGTTTTCAAAATAATTGACAAAGCATTTGCTGAATTTGGGTTACACTCAATATTAGCCATTGGAAAATTTTCCAGGTAATATTCTAGTGAGATGAAAGGGTATGGAGGGAGGCCAGAACGAACCTGCATTTACGTGTAACAAACCCATTTTGCGCCTTGCCCAAAATTTTACGAGTGTGCCGTAGAAGTCGTAGCTTACCCTGACCTAGTACTGCACACGCCTATGCTGACAAAAATTCCCTTCCTTGTAAGTATACAGGAAAAAACGATTACCTGTAGAGGCTAATAGGAGAGGGCATTCATGCGAAGTAATAATTGTTGTTGTTTTTTCTACACGCTTCCAAAGAAAACATGACAACATCACAAACTGAGATAGGTGATTTTCGAGTCTCACTATGGATGTGTTTATTATGAAAACATGGAGGTTTTATCGAGGGGCTATTGCTGTATTAGCTAATTAAATAATGTAATGGAATCACTGGCTTTAAAACCCATTCTAATTTTGAACGCAGCGCTCTAGCACACCTCCAACCCCCGCCGATTACTCAGTCCACCGAGCCTGCATCCCCGTCAACCTCGGGACCCCTTTTTTCCGGGCCGGAATAATGGGCTCGTATCATACTTCACAATCTTTAATTCAACTTATTTTCGGCATGATGTGCCCCTGATACCCGACAAAGGGCCCGGTCCTGTTGTTCGCGCTCACATGACGCTTTCGAGCCCAAGTCTTTTTTGACTCCGCGTCCCGCGCTAAATGACCAGTTAATCAACCCGCTTTATTTTGTTTCCTACAGCTCGATGGGTCGCTTTTCGATGTATCGAACTTCGATTTTCGTGCCCGTCGTTTGATGTTTTATCGGAAAAGTAGAAACTCATTCTAATCACCCGGTGATTCAATGGGAGAGCAACCGGAATCAAATCGTCGCTTCCCGACGAAGGGACGTAATTCTATTCCGAGGTTGCACAATTCACTAAAAAATTCGATTTTTTACAAGCATATACATATGCAATTTTTGTCAAAAATTTTCTCGATTTTCGCATGAGATCGGATGAAAAATCAGTGAAATTTTCAGCTAAAAATGTCCAAGAATCTACAGTAAAAATTGCGATTTGCAAGTGGAAACTTGGCAACATTGAAATGCAGTTACGTTCTTTCGTGGGGGAGACGACAAAATCACTTCCCCAGTTCCCCCTCCTGCCAACAAAAGTTATTTTTGCTTATTTTAATTGACCCCTGGTTTTGTCACGTCAAGTTTAAGTATTATTCACGATATTTAAAATCGCAATTTGGAAAAACTCACTTTTTTCCCTACCAACGAAATCGGATGGGAAAGAAGTGAGTTCCTCAGAATGTATTTCATATATCGACCTACTCATTTCCTGTTTTAAACAAAAGTTCTTAACATACCATACCTGACTATTCGCAATGTTTTTTTATGTAGATAGCTCTCTGAGAATGCACGGATATAAATGTATAAATATAATTGAGGGGCTTGGAGGACAAGGCACATAGGTGCAATTTTTGTAAAAATTGAGTTATTAATGATTTCAAGTAAAACTAATCTTAATGCATACTTTGTGAAAAATTTGCTTCCAAATTCTAATTTTAAAGCATCAAAAAGTGAGTTTAAACTTCCTTTCTGTCATTAGGTTCCATGTAATTTTGAGACTTTAGACACGTACCTATTTCTTGAAATAGCAAAAATGCAGCTATCCGCCTTGCCTCACCCCCGCTCCCGCCTTAAGCCCCTCAATTATGCCATATCAATTTTATCGTCAGAAAGACCATTAATCCGTCTTTTTTTCTGAATCGGTGAATAGGAAACCTTCCGCGGGGACGAGGGAACCCAACTTCTCGAGCAGGCCCACTATCCTACATTCCACAGAGGTATACCTATACGTGAATTTAAAAAAAGAAAATCCACCCTCAATTGAAATTCTCGTTATCCGAAATCCTCTTCACTTAGATCGCACGTTTCATGGAAATCACCCCGTGCGGCTTTACTTTCATACGAAAACAGTAAGTCATTTGAGTGAATGTTTCATAATTACAATGCAATGAGACTGACTTAATGTAAGTTCGCTGTGTGATATTCAGGGCCTTATAAAGCACAAAACTTCTCGATAGAAACTTCACGAAAGGAATGGGCAACTCTTTTAGAACTTTTGGCGGAAGTAGAAATACAATCTTCACATGATCAGGGCCGGATTTACCTACTTGCCGTCCCTTCTCGTTCGTTTTGAAACATCGATACAAACCATCAGGTGAGTGTGCCGGAGAAGGAAGGGTGCATAAGACGCGTTTACTCGCGTTGGGCACATTTTTCGTGAAAGCCCTGTCAACACTAGCAAAAGTTCACGGAACTTTGCGCGAAAATTAAGTTCCGTAAACCTATCTCTGTCTGGACGAGGCCTTTCATTTATAAGAAAAGAACGAAAAGATTATGAGAGAATAAACATGAATGTGGTTTAAATATTTTAATTTCCGCCACCGCGCCAACCGCACTGTGTTTGGCGCAATGCGTGAAGTATTCCTACAGTCTTGTAGGCGCTATGCGTTTCACGCCAACCGCTGCGGACCCGGCTGACCGCACTACGTTTGACGCAATGCGTGAAGTATTCACTAAGTCTTGTAGGCGCTAATATGTGTTCCATGCTGACTGGCGCGCCGAGGGCTTCTCCTTTCCATCTCAAGTCCTCGTCATCATTGCTCTCTGCGCCGCGCCGGACCAGGCCAAATTGCGTATTTGGTTTCTCTCTCAACTAAACTAATGAAAGGCGCTGTCTCATGTATCACCGAAAGACGAACAAATTAGAAATTACTATACTTTAACTCTCAGGAAATGAGAGATGTTTCGTTTTTTCTCGTTTGTAATTTGTTTTCTAAATCAGATTTTTTTCTTGATACCTACATTTGAAAAAATCGCAACATTTGCCGCCCTCTAAATTTGCCGCCATGGGTCCGGCCCTGTTTACATTATTGTATTTATTAAAAGATGACACAAGAGATGAAACTTGGCAATTTTTGAGATATGAGGTGGAATTAATGCTGCCTTGAAAGTTTTCTAAACTTTGGGGACTTCCTGTTACTTTAATGATATTAAATTGAGGATATATAGTAGTGTGTAATTAGTGCTACAGACCTAAAAATCACTGGTTTTCCTAAAAATTACCTAAAGTTCTTAGCGTAAAAAAAGCCGACTCATTAGTAACGGTTTGGTCGAGGAGACTTCAGCGAACAATTTGATAACAGTTTTGAAACTTCTGGTTTCATCTGGCGAGATAAACACTGCACTTAATACAAGTGCAAAAGTACGTTGCAAAATGTGGCGACATTCTTTCTAATGACTTTTCTCGCTTAAAAATAAACAATTCAGTTCAACATGGCAATTTTCTTGAACATTAGAGTCTCTTTTCAGCATATATTGCCAAGGCATCCACGATCAGTGCTGACCAACTGACGCAAATTGCTGTTTTGCTTCAAAATCGGGGTTGGCGACGCGAAACCGACCGGGATTTTCGGCCTGTAAAGTCTCATATTATTAAATACAATCATAATTTATCGTGCTTCTCGGCATGAATAAGTTCAGGGACATCATTTCTATTGATTTATCAACTTGGTTTTCAATCGTTCCGCCCTAAGTCGTTTATAACCCACGGCGACACGACCATTCCTTTTATCGTGAAATCATCCATGAGCTACACCTATCATATATTGATCCTATCATATATCTATATTGAAATATAGGCAAATAAATTTTCATAAAAGATATCAGAAGCAAATGCGCAGGAAAAGAAGCGAGAGCGATGCTTTACGGATCCACAACGAATCGAAACATTTAATGTAAATATAGTCTAATTAATATAGCGTATAATATCTTACGAATTAAGGAGTGAGTGGAGTTAATTATCAGAACTTTACAGTTATAGAGCATGACGCGGCACAACTCAAGGCGCTGGCGTATCGTCGAGGGCGGTGGGGATTCGATGTAGCTTTATGAATAAAAAGAACAAAAACCACAAGTTAATCTCGGGGGATGATTGAAACGATTGGTAGTATTAAACGAAGGAGGTGAGAAGAGGGGAGTGAAGATAACTGGTACTCGTGGTATTTACCGCGGGTAGTTCCCGAAAACGGAATCCAATTGGTCGCTCGATGTACACGGAGCGAGGGTTGGTGGGCGGAGCCACCACATATTTATTCAGAGGGTCGCTCGCGGCATCCCTTATTCGAGTAGACTATGGCAGGGCCGTTTCTAACGTCTCTCCACGGTGATCTTTTATCAGAATACGTGTTCGGAAGGAGAAGACAGGTGAGTTATCATTTATGCTCCTGCTCCTTCCCTCTCTGTTCATTCTTTTTTCGTTGGAATTTATTTAAACGTTTCATTGAATATTAAAACTCAGAGTGATTATTTTGTGCACCTTAAAATTGAACTGTTCAGGAATGATTTACAAGCTGAAACTCATCATTCGGTTCAAACCGTCGTATTTTGAAACTGTCCAAGTGCTTTGATTTTCCGTGAATTTTCAAATGAATTGTTTTATTTTTTTATTTACTTTTTAATTTTAATAATGCATTTAGAAGTAGTGGTCTTATCGATGACTAAAATGCGAGACCACGTATGTCTATTTGTGACGTTGCAGACTGCCTGTCATTATTTATGGTGTTTTTAGAAAACTAGTCAATTATGTACTGCCGTGCCAAGGAAGAACGCCGTATGAGCCTTTCGACGTTGCCAAGTTTCCTTCGATTAAAACGGAAATTACTAGGAAATTTGTGGATATTTTTTTCTAAAATTTTCAGACAATTTTCTACAGAATTTAATCTAAAATATTTGAAAATTTCAAGGAAAAATAAGAAAAACTTTCCTAAAAAATACATGTTTTATCCGGAGAAATTTGGCAAGTCCCGAATGTTCATACGGCGTTTTTTCTTAGCTTGGCAGTGTAATTTCCTGAAAACTTCCTGATTTTTCATTTCTTTTGGTAGAGTACTCTTATTAAATTTTAAGCCACGAAGTTGGCATGCTTCTCTTCGAAAAAGTGAGATACCTATAGACGGAGATTTTGAAAAACCGCAATTAATTACATGATTTCGCACTTTGGCTATCGATATGCAGATATAATCAGAAAAGGTTTTTGCTTGAACTAAATGTTAAAACATCTAAAAAGTGAATTCTTTTTTTTAGGGGGGGAGGGGTATAAAACATGTCATCTCCCCTAGCTACCTACGTAATCATTGTTGATGTTACAATAAATTTGTTCAAAAATAAATCATGAAAAGTACGTAAACCCTCCATCAGCATCGCTTTGAATGAGAATTGATTTATGCTTCGAGAAACCCTACAAATTTTCCGTTAAAAAAACATCCCTTTGTATATTTTGTATCACAGGGATCAACCTTATCTTTCGTTTTTATGACAAGATGTTTTCGTAATTTTGAATATTATTTGCTTGTGATCGAAAATAATACTGTTTTTTTTTTCTTAAAAAAAATTGTCTTTTAAAGATCCTTTAATGTCCAATTTTTGATAATCGTTCATATACTCTGGGAAAAAGTTTACTCCGAGTGTTGTGTCATCATATGCTTTGATTTAAGCGACATCCGGGTCAAATTTACGATGGTTGGGGCGTAAAAAAGCCTGTTTTTACCAAGGATGTTTTTCCTAAAATAGGTACTTTTGATTAACATGACTTATGATTCGTCATGTACCGTAGTGTTCCTCTGCCGATGAAGTAATGTTAAGAAATTAAGAATCCAACAAGATGAAGTTAAAATCTTTTGGCCGACAAGACCTTCAATCGGTCCATATTCTACACAATATCTAACATAATCGCGATTGTCTCTGCTGATCGCGTTAACTTAGCTTAATTAGTTTGCGAATTGTACATTTATTACACTCCCGTTGAGTATGTTAGCCCTTAATTCCCGCAATTTGGCGCACTACGTCACCCTCGGGTTCGGGATTTAGTTTTCAGTCCTTCGACATTAGGTACTCTCGGAATTCAAAAATTTGGAATGTCAGGTGCTGAGGGAAGGCGTATAGGGAGATAGATGGCGCCAAGTAGTTGAAGGTTTTCTTATACTTTTCGATTTATACATCTAACTCTTCATGTGAGGTATCTTTTCACAATCAATTGCATCAAAACATTCAACGCACCCCACACCTCCCCCTTCCGATGAATAGATAGCATTAAATAAGAAGCTTTAAAAATTGTCCTCTCGTAATAAAAATTTCACTAGGATACGAGAAATAAGATTGCTTTTCGGGGCTTTTTTTCCTAAAGAAGGAATTGCACAGCAAAATTATCAAATTTATGAGAGTTTCTCTTGCACATGCTCATTTCCTTTTTCCTTGTCTTTTTCTTCTCAGAGACGGAATAGAACGACTTTTACCCCACAGCAATTGACCGAACTAGAATCTTTATTTCAGAAGACTCACTATCCTGATGTTTTTCTCCGGGAGGAAGTCGCTCTAAGAATTAACTTGTCCGAAGCACGAGTGCAAGTAAGAATGAAACCTCTTTTCCCTGTAACAATGTTCTACATTCCTATAGAAAAACGCCGTAAGAATTTTTAAACGTCGCTAAAGTTTTGTCAATATGAACCAAATTTTCTCGAGGATTTACGTACACTAAAAAAATACTACATTTATTTACGTAAATCCTCAAGAAAATCTGTTTTTTTTTTCTCGTTTAAATATGTTTCACGTAATTTTAGTTTCCCTATAAGGGTCAAAATCAAAATGTAATGGCAGTGCGGGCAGCGGTACCTACTTTTCAAGGATGACCTGAATCTGAATCATCCGGGAAATTTTTATTTCTTCTAACAAGAGTAATGATTTTTCTTGCTGCTTCAATGTATCAATACCCTCGCACAGAAAAAATGCAACAAAAATGTCTTGGCGTGGTTTATTTTATGAAAGGGAAAACTTACGGAATCTGCTACATTCCCTTGAGATCTCCGTAATTTTTCTCCTCTCGTGAGAAATCCTCTACCATCAAGATTTATTGCTTAGTAAGGCTGGTAAATTCTAGTTTGATACGTCACACAGTGGGACGAACTGGAACGGTCGGACATTAAATTTTTGGCTAAAATTTCACTTTTTTGTTTATTTCGTCATAAACTCAATTTCAAAGGGTGTCTTAAAGAGAAAATTTCACGAAAAACCCGATGAAGCCACCCTTAAACTGTTTTGTATCATATTTTCGAAAGTATAAGCTTTCAAAGTTTCCAGAATTTGTCCGATCTCACCTATTACCTCGATCCACTGTGCGTCGGTTTTCTCCCTTTAAGCAATATGATAAGAGGGAAAAAGGGAACCCATAAAAGGAAAACCAACTTCTTTTGCTATTTCAGAAGAAGAATTAAAAAATACTTACTATTTATCTCCCTGCATAATTCAATTTGTTTGTTCATTTTCAATACGTATGCAAACTTATTGAAATTCTTAAGAAATTCCTTTCATAATTAATAGGTAATAATATAAATAAATTTCGAGTACTCACACAGAGTCATAAGTATACGTAGTTTTAGATCGATGTATTTCTCTGACAATCATCTAAATGATTCAATTTTTCTCTCAATCCAGGTATGGTTTCAAAATCGACGCGCAAAATGGCGGAAGCAGGCGCGACTACAACTATTGCAAGATGCGTGGAGGATACGTTGCTTGGGATTATCGACACCACCCCTACTAATGGGTAATTTCATATCTCCTTTCTCACTGTGCCAAAAATTGAAGCGTGACTAAATTTTGAGATGAGGTTTGATGTAGTGTGTAAATATCCGTGGTTTTTTATAGTTTCAGGGTAAAAATAAATTTATGTGCGTGTATTTCTTACCCAGCGGCGAAAATGTATGTATAGGTTCTTTGCCGTGATCGTAGATTTTGATGCATTGATTAACAGTAGAACCTAAAAATACCATCTCTTCAATTATAAGGCGGCTCAAAACTTTCGCTCCAATTCCATTTTTTCAGATTCACACTTAAACTTATTGATCAAAATTCCTTGGAACACTGTTCTTACTTACCGATTAATTCGAAAAAGGAAAATGATTTTGACTTTTTTAATATAGGTAGTATAAAAAAAATTCAATATTGTGTCAAAATAGAAAATGTTTATCAATATAGGTATTAAAATTAAAAACCCCAGTAGTGAATTAAAACTGTCCTAAATGAAATAATTTCAATGTATCCGTCGTAGCTATCTTTTCCCGCATCCTGTAATGGTGGCAAACAAAACTTTAATTAGAGCCTACGGGAGAGAATAATAATTTCTCTGGATGAAGCTCCCAGATATTTCTGCAGACATCGCTAAAAAGATACATCAGGTTTAATTTGAGGCATCAAAACTACCAGGTAACAATAAAAAAAAAAAAACTGCCTTTGAAGCTTCCAAATCACGATTTCACCTACTCCTCACTGGATCATATGTGCGGGTAACGCTGGTCGTTTTGAAGAAACACTTAGAGGTTCAAATAAAAAGGCTCGCAAGTTACGCAAAATGCTATTTGATCTGTGAGGATGCGACTTATTACGACGCGTAAGATCTGTTTTTGTCTAATCATTCAAATTGAGGCGAACGTTCACTCGAGAGCCTTGAAACTACTTTTAACGGTACAGTTCGGTGTTCGCCTTCAATGCGATGAATAGGCAAAATCAGCTCCCACGAGTCAAAATAGTCGTATCCTCAGAGATTGAAGTCACGCAAAGTGTGGCGTTCCTCCGAGAATTTTCAGCCTTGGCTGGAAACCCCAAAAATTACTGAAATCACAACTTGATGTATTTTTATGATTGAAAGGAGGGGTATCGTTAAGGGCCTTTTTTGGCCCCACCCTAAAATTCCTCAACTCCGCGATTTTTTGGTCATTGAAGGTCTATATTTTACGGAATGCACAATGGTTTTGTCATTTCCGGTCTATTTCGGGGTCTACCACTGGCCTAAACATGGGTCTGAAGGCCAATTTTGGTGAAAAATGCGGGTTTTTCAGCATTCGACGCGCTGTTTCGTAACGATCCCTTCGGAGGACAAAAAAATCCTTCAAGTATGTTCATTAGGGATGTAAGAGAGTCACTTTGGCCAATTTTCGTCGATGTCAAACTTTGCGCTCATAGTTAAAAAAAACTTTTTAGAATTTTTCTTGTTTTTCATCATTATTTAAAATGGCTTAAAAAAGGCGACTCATCTTACACCAGAATTAAACTTTTTTGGCAAAAAATGGTCGTGGGTGGTCAAAACCTTCCTCTAAAAACTTTTTCCGATTTAAAGCCCCCCAAAAAAGCCGGTGTTGCCATATTTCATTGCCTAAAATCATAGAAAACCGAGTACTTATTTCAGTATTTGGGGGCTATTTCTCGTCGAGCTCATTCAGAAAAGTCCAAAAACCTTCATTTTTCATATGTTATGGCCGAATCACCAGTAATTACATACATTTATCTAACTACAGAACCTCCCATCGTGGCACGGCGTTGCCACATCATCGGGGAAAAATCGAGAAAAATCCACGTCTCCCTGGACTTGAGCCATTTTTTCGGATTATGCGGATGGAATAAAGTTGAAAGACTTAAATGGGCCTGTTGCATGCAAGAGATACAGCCGCGCGAATAGATTTTATAGAGGTTAAGTGACACGAAAATTACGATGGTCACATTAAAAAAGTCTGAAATACACTCCTCACTGCGCAATTTGCGTTGTGAGAAACGCGTTTTTTTCAAATTTCCCGCGTCTGGGGGCAGTTTTCTAATCACCGGAAACGAGCTAACGACGGGCTCGGTGATTTTCGGCAGATGCCGAGTCGTTGTTGTTGTTGTTATTNGACGAAAATTGGCCAAAGTGACTCTCTTACATCCCTAATGAACATACTTGAAGGATTTTTTTGTCCTCCGAAGGGATCGTTACGAAACAGCGCGTCGAATGCTGAAAAACCCGCATTTTTCACCAAAATTGGCCTTCAGACCCATGTTTAGGCCAGTGGTAGACCCCGAAATAGACCGGAAATGACAAAACCATTGTGCATTCCGTAAAATAAATTGTAAAAACTTGGAATTTTTTTAGGTTTTCACAAAAACCGCACTTCGGAAGTTTCATTCATTTTAGATTTTAAATTTTTTTTCATTCTTATTTTTAGCGAAAAAATGGTTGTGTTTATATTTGGTTGCTAATACAACCACACATCGACCATACACAGGAAAAGCTGAATCTAATATCAAACACAATATTTTATCCAATAATAATCTTATAGTTTTAAAATTAAATTATTCTATCATTTTTCCACGTCTTCGTTTCTTTTCTTTTCTTTTCTTTCTTTCTTTTTTTTTTTTTGACCTTCACTAAAATTTTGATTTTTTACAGGACCGGGGAGTCATCGTCCAAGTGCCATAGATGCTGGACATTCAAATAACCTGAAAATTCCAACTAGTGATAACCCTGACTTTCGGCTGATGCAATGGTATGATATTTTTGCCGCTGAAATATATTTTTCAATTTCAAACCTTCATAATTTTTACTTTTTTCACTAAAATATCGGATTTGAGATCCAATAAGGGACTGTGTTCTTTGAATTCTTTGATAGATCGGTATGAAATGAATACGTGAGATTGACAGAAATGAGCACATGTGGCGTTGTGCTTCATCCAATCAGCCGGTAAATTCCTCAGTCAAAAATAATACTTTTTTGCTCTAAAATGTATTTTCCTTTGAGTCATTTTAAGAAAGTACCAGGTCCCTGAAAGTTTTGTAATCAAACCCGTTTTTTTTTTGGTTATAAAAAAAATTACGATGACGATGAGTTATCACCTGAATGAGACGGATGACGGACGAATGATAACTCACGAAGATATTACCGCGTGATTGTCCATGTTTCAGTAATTCATCTTTGGTTGCAAGAAAAGAGGAGGGGAGGAGGGGCTGAGGAGAATGGGCTTCGCGAGGATCTCGGATATCAGGGGAGGGGGAGAAAGATTGTTGAAATCTGAAATTTCCACCTTTTGCTTTGATTTTTACTTTTAGCGTAGGCAAAAATGAATAGATATAGCGAGAAAATATACCAAAAAAATAAAAAAAATCGTGTCATATGTTTGAAGCCTCCCGCATAATTGAAAAAAAATCGATTTCTACAACTTTAAGGGACTTGGTCCTACACTCAAAACAGTCCCAAGGAAAACATGTTCAATAGCAGAAAAAAAGAAGAAAAGAATTGTGGTCTAAAGAATCTATTGTCCATCGAAATACGAGCATTCAGAGTCCGGATACCCTATATCGACGGTGTAAGTCGGCAATCACATATCTCGTTTACGGTGTCTGAAAATCTCCGACTCTATGTTATTTTTTTTAAAGGAGAACAATTGGCATTATTCCTTGAAGTTTTTGCAGAATTTTCATCGCACATAGAAGAATAATCACGGCAGTTTGGAAGAATTGCCTTTGAGTAGTTTTCCGTTTAAAAATAAAGTATGATAGGAAGTCTGCGACGTCGCAAACCGAGTTATGTGATTGCCGACTTACACCCTCGATATAGTATAGACACGTTTTTATTTTTCAATCACACTGTATAATATAAAAACATAAGAATAACGCGATATACATAACGCTCGCAGCAAGTTCTTCGAGTGGTTTGGTTGGACCGCGAAGCTGTCAGTGACCCCTGGTAAAAATTGGCAGTAGAATCTGTGTTCCAAAATACCATAGACCTACAGCCGGCTCTAAGATTTCCAATAGCTTCTATAGCCGGCTACACAATTTCTTATAGCCTTTTATAGCCGATGCGGCGACTAAGCAACTCACAGCCAGGCGATAAAGTGTATGCTAAACGTCACTAATTACGGATGCTAGGACTTAGTGAGTTGTTGGACCACTGCTCTCTTTTTGGGCCGTAGTATCTTGATTTATTTTACGAGGAAAGCTCCGTACTTTTGATAGATGTCTGCCATTCCTAATATATTAGAGCGCCTTCAGTTTCGTATGATACTGTGCAATACCTCTGGTGTGAAATAGTTTCTTCAAGCGCCGTGGCACGCTGCGGTGCGGCAGGCGGGTAGCCAGCGCGAAACGCGCATTGGCGCCTACAAACCTAACAGGGATACTTCACGCGTTGCGCAATGCGTGAAGTATCCCTATTAGGTTTGTAGGCGCCAGTGCGTCGCTGCTCCGCTTTGTGTTAGGCTCTAATATTTAATCTGGCGGAGTCAGTGTGATTCAACTCATGATTTTGAAATGTTTGCACATTCTGTATGGATTATTCCCGTCTTAATGGGCCTGTTGCAAACTTTTGCTAGAGCAGAATGAAGAGTTGTTTCCTATAGATAATGCCTCAAAAATCACGATGAGCGCATCGGCAAAGTCTGAAATGCACTCATAAATTCACAATCTGCGTAAGAAATTTGCATTATTTTGAGCTTCCCGCTTCAAAAACGATACTACTGCACAGGTGAACATTTTGTTAGAGGAGTCGCTCCATCGTCGGCAATATTCATCATGGCCGACGCTTGCGCAGTTCCTCACGTAATTCGAGGAGAGTTCAAGGTCAATTAAGGCGGGCGAGGAAAATATGAACGTAAAACACGCCGATTGTTATGGTTTAATCCTGTTCAGGTGTTATCTCGTCCCATCACACGTGTTTTGGCGGACTGGCGTCGGCCATGATGAGTATTGTCGCCAATGGAACGACTCCTCTAACAAAATGTTCACCTGTACCGTAGTATCGTTTCCGAAGCGGGAAGCTCAAAAAACCGCAAATATCTTACGCAGATTGTGAAGTTATGAGTGCATTTCAGACTTTGCCGATGCGCTCATCGTGATTTTTGGGGCATTATCTGCAGGAAACAACTCTTAGTTTTGCTCTAGCAAAAGTTTGCAACAGGCCCATTGATGAAAAAAAATATGTATTAAAGGAAAATATAACGTGTGTTTTGTAAATATTAAGGTGGTTCCGTATCAAACTTAATGATTTCCAAAGCACACGAATTTCTATACAATTTCTTATAGCCTTTTATAATCGATGGCGAAAAAGCAACAGCCAGGCGATAAAGTGTATAGCCTGGCTGCATACTTTTTTATCGCTTCGTAAAGCCCGGCCGTATGATTTTCTCCGCATTCTACAGCCAGCTATATGATTTTCTGTAGCCTTCTTTAGCCGGCTATAAGAATTCCTATGGTATTTTGAAATGCAGCTCTTATCGCCAATTTTTACCAGGGACCTTAAAATACAAATGTGTAAAAATCTCTTTGCTGCTAGAATCGATTCTATTCTTGGCTTATTAATTTTCCAGCTTACACATGAGCAGCGATAAACCGGGCACTATGATCTCTCCTGCACCAGGTGCGGCGGCTCTCTGCCCTTGCAACCTCTCTAGTCCGGCTGAAAAATCCCCTCAATCTGCAGGTGAGATCTCATGTAATCTTCACTGGAAAAAAAAAAAAAACACATTGGGTCTAGAGTCCAGACTCTTGAAAACATTGACAAGAAAAAGGACTCTTGATTCAATCAGATTTAAGCTTAAATCAAAAAGAAATCCGCTCAAATAAAGAGGCTTGATTCTTGATTTAAGCTTAAATCTGATTGAATCAAGAGTATCTTTTCTTGTCCATGTTTTTAAGAGTCTGGACTCTAGATCCAAGGTGTTTTTTGTCCAGTGTTTTATCAGTGTCGGTGATTTGAACTATTTTTTTGTGATTCTAATGGGTTCGCTTGTTATTTGAGAATAGAGATCTTGGTTCTCCAAAACAAAAATCGGAAAACGGCCGCTTTCTGCCTATCAAGGACAATGAAGCTGTCTCCGAAAGAGACCGAATAGGACTGATTTTGAGCCCCCTTGAGGGCGCATCATAAATCTCTATATAACCTCAAGAAATCATGTGTCAAAATTTTCAAAAGGCCATATCATTCATTTTAAACGAAAATTTGACTAAACCCCCAATTCCGCCGTTTTTGTAGATATACGGCATCTATATTCAATAAATCAAAAGCTTGCAGCTACTACTTATGTTGGAATACCACTCACACAATTTAAAAATATGATATTAGCCAGGTAGCACTGACTTTAAAAAGACAATAGAAAAAAGTTAAAAACTCGTAAATTTCAAAAAAAAAAAAATATTAAAAAAAAACTATTGAAATGTCTGAGTTAGGATACCTTTTTTCTTAATTAACGTAAAAATGTTATCTTGCATTCTCAAGTTTTTATTTTTTTTTTATTTTCTTTTATTTTTTTTTTTTAACACTTCAGAGTTCAGAAGTATCTATATTAGGAGTTTCAGTAATTTCCGTGCGAATAGTCTTCCATGTGAAAGTTTGATTAGATATACTAAAGTGCTTCAATTCGTACCTTGTCTAGTGGTTCATTGTAACCTTGTAAAATTTTGATGATTTTAATGACCGTTGCGGCGAAATGCCCAATAAAATGTACTATATTCTCCAACTGAAATTTTTTTTGATAAGCATTACCTTTAGAAAAGTTGCAAAAGTTAGAATGTAACCCATCTCTAGCGCTGAAAACGAGAGTGAGAAATCAAGTTCGCCTTCAACTCGACGGATGCAATATGAGCGGCTTAGAAGTTGAAATAGTTGTATCACGCATTTGTGCGCTCGATCAAATTGAAGAGATCTGAGTAATACCTATCGGCTCTTGATTAGTTTTTTCCTCCCTTCCATACTAATTTTTTTATTAAGGCATGCAATAGTTTACAATATTTTCATTCAACATTTAAATTGACGTATTCGGATTATTTGCAAGTTTCAACTTATACATACAATTGCGGTGCTTCAAAGTTTGCATCACCGTTTTCAAAATACTCTTTTTTTCTTTTTTCTTTGTGAGAAGTCAGGGCATTTCAGCGTCAGTGATCAGGGAATTTTCCCAAAAGTTAGGGGAAAATCAGGGAATTTTATTGCATTTGAATTAAACTTGCAACCATGGATTTTCTCCACCTTGTATGCAAAAAACGAGAAAAAGTGAAAAATCAAGAATGGAATTTCACCGGAATGTCAACTAAGGGATCAAACGTTTTAGTGGTTTGCCATAAATTTTAGTAGTTATAGGAATCAGGTGCAATTATTTTCCTCAAAACCCTCCAGAACTACCTCAGGGGCTCAATTACAAGCAGGGTTTCGTACAGCACCAGCATGATATTTAAAATCAAAATCCTGGATCGGCTTTGTCTGTGCTGAAGACTCGTACCGAGACGAACGATTGGTTGATTCACCCTAATTTAAGGAACGCAAGAAGAGTAGTGACCCATTCTGCCGTGCTAAGAAAAAGCGCCGTATGAACCTCCAGCCGTTGCCAAATTTCCTCTGATAAAATACGATTTTATTGGGGAAATTGTAAATATTTTTCTTCCAATTTTTCAGACTATTTTGTTCGCAATTTAATCTAAAATATCTGAAAATTTGAAGGACAAATATACATAATTTTTGTCAAAAATACATAATTTTTGTCAAAAATACATAATTTTTGTCAAAAATACATGTTATATCCGAGGAAATTTGGCAACTCTTGAATGTGCACACGGCGTTCTTATTTGGCACGGCAGCGACTGTTACGTTGGCGGGTGAACAAGTTCCCTTGGAGACTTGAACGCTCGGGAAAGAAAAACAACTTATCACGCACCTAGAGCCATCTCTTGGCTGTTTCTCGAATTCTGAACGGGTCTATATTGTGCTAGTCACAAAAACGCGTTTTAATTGTTATAGCACAGATTATAAGAAAAAACACCCCCCCCCCCCCAGGCGCCTTGATATGTATGAGAAGAAGTATAATCTATAATTTCCTGTCAAACTTCATCTCATGATGAAGTTTGACAGGACACATCATGTTTGGATCACATTATTCGAATCATTTCCGCACATTAATGACAATCGTCCCATCAAAATTCAGGATGAATACCCAGAGTGGATTGCCGAACCAACGAAAAAAAAATAAATAAAAAAAAATAATTCCACCCATTTTTTAAATGTTTATATACCACTTTTTGGTATACATCAAGATTCATAACCATACCGCAAGAACCATAACCAAACCATAAGACTCGTGTTGGGGTGAAGTTAATCTCAGAATGAATCTTTAAGTACACCACTTTCATGATCGACTCTTGAAACGAATCATTACCACAAAAAACGGGAAGCTAGAAAATTGGACTTATGCGGTTTTCGCACGACACGATTCAATTTGACTCTGGTCTTTTTGTGAGCGGGTACCTTGGATGTTTACGGAAAAAACCTTTTTCCTCGTAGCGAAAAAAAGGAGGTGTATGCATTTCGGGCTTCTTGGATTTTTTTGATGACGTAGGTCGGTATACGGACGACTTTTATCATTGATTTTCTTGGAAATGGTGTAGTTTGAGGAAAATAGTCATACTATATACCTAATGTGTTTGAAATTACCTATATCATGGGTTGACTTAAGCAAAAAAATCGGATGTTATGGTCCATTTATCATAGTTCGAATTCCGGATTTTGCTGGGGGTAAGTACCTGTGGTATCGACCTTCGTCACGGGGTAAACAATCCCCAAGATGCAAACATCTCCTTTTTTTCTCTCTATGCTTTTCATTACCTACAATGAGTTGGATTTAGGCATTTTCAATGTATTCGTCGTATTTCTACCAGTTTTGATGAGGAAGCATGCATTTTGATTCTTAATTTCTTATCCTGTCTTGTAATCTATTATCCTTTGCTTAAAATAAATTGCTATATCTCCAACGAATTGGGGCTTGTTTCATATCTGAAACCAGCACTGCATATGGTGATACAGGTATTAACAAATCCGATACATCTTGTCATATTTTGCCCTTAAAAGTTTTATGAGCACCTACCCTAATGCCATGTTTCTCACATGTAGTACCATACTTACGGTGATTTGATGGACGCCATATTTTGTGCCAGAACGGCATGCGATATATCGGATCAATTGGTTCCATTTTTTCAGCTACTCGTCATTTTTCTCCAATTTTGAGATCGCAATTCTGTTGTCAGGAGACTAAAGCACTCACTCACCAATTTTAACAAAGAAATTCAACGTAATGAAGGCGTGGTTTTTTCATAGAGAAAACATCGCATTCGATACTGATATCGAAACTGCACTCGAATGCGATATTTTCTCTCTAAAAAAACCATCCCTTTATTACGTTGAATATCTTTGTTAAAATTGGTAAGTGAGTGCTTCAGTATCCTGAGAACAGAATTGCGATCTCAAAGTTGGAGAAAAATGACGATTAGCTGAAAAAATGGAACCAATTGACGCGATGTATCGCATGCCGGTCTGACACAAAATATGGCGTTCATCGAATCACCTTGATTGCAAGTTCTCAAAATATTATTTTCATTTTCAGATTGTCCGTCGTTTCACCGAAAAATATCACCCACTGAACGCACATCTTCACCGACCAGTCCTATGACCTCATTAACAGAGTCAAGTAGCACTATGGAACATCACAACAGCAAAGAAGTGCAGCGAGGGCCCGAAAACCTAATTAAAAATATGGACGGCTCCAATAACAATGAGGGAAAGTGACCTGTTTCAATGTAAATTATTTTTGTTCGAACTGAACTTAATTCCTTGTGTAGGTAGTTCCGAAATACGCCTCAACACAGTAGAGCAAAGCCTAGTTCCCACTGTCGTGAAAGAGCTTCAAAAGATGAGTATAATTTACGCGTGAAGGTATTTAAGAGAGCAAGTCGACATTTTGTTGTGCACTGAAAAAAAAAGCTCGGTGTATTTACGAAGAGAAGGGTAAAATTACCAAGAAGTCAGGGCTCTATTTGATCCCAGTTTTTTCTTGGTAAAATTACCATTTATGGAATTGGTAATTTTACTGAGAAATCTCGGTAAAATTATTGACTTTCTCGGTAATTTTACTGGACCCCGGTAAAAATGCCAATATTTTTTATCGACTGTGGTATAGAATAACCGAGATAGAATGGCAAAGTTACCGGGAATGATTACCAGTAAAAAAGGTATTCTTACCTGAAATAAACAGTAAAAATACCGGTTTTTAGGTAAGCTTACCAGTCTGTCTTGGTAAAATTACCAATAATTGGTAAAAAAGTGAGATGGTAAAGGTACCAACGGACCTTGGTAAAAACGCCAAGAATTTTTTTTCAGTGTGGGGGACATAAAGTAGCAGGAATATCTAGAAACGAAAATCCTCATTTAGAGAGCAACTCACTTTAATTTTCACATAATTATGTCGAGCAAATTCCTTGTAGTAGGTAAGTTAAATTAAAGTCATATGAATATAGTTCACGAGCGCGCCGTTGAATTTTAATTCGGCGCTCCCTTTTTTTTATGCGAATATTGTAAGTTGTATTATACTTCTTGTGCAATGCCTATCCTTTCTTGAAGTAAAAAAAATGTTGGTTGACGTTTAAAAGAAATCATTTTTATTTTCCGTTAAGTCCAAAAGCACGCACTATCCTGAAATAACACGCAGTTTAGCTGAGGAACGCTTAGACTGTTTAATTAGGACTTCAGAAAAATGCAAATAATTGTTGAACTGTATGAGTTAAGAAACCTTCGTTGATCTTTCATAAGTTGAAACTAAGGGAAAGAGATTTGAAGATATCATTCAGTAAAAGTAAAATTTTGACCGCTATTTTCAGAGCCCAAGTAGCATGGACTGTCAAATTTGGATCCCAGAGAATTGTAATTTTTTTTTTTAATGTAGTGCGGAAAATGTATCGAAGCATCCCTTTCTCTACCACGTTATAAAGAAGAAACAGAGAAAAGAAAAAAACTTTTACACGCAGAACGGTAGCAGTGCTGCCGTATTAAGCAAGAAAGCCTCATGAACATTCGAGAGTTGCCAAACCTCCTTCAATTAAATTTTCATTTTTGAAGAACGTTATGAATATTTTCCCTTGAGATTATCAGGGACTTTCGGTGGAATTGAGAACTAAATTATCTGAAAAATTGGGAGGGAAATATTCATAAATTTACCAGGAAATTCGCGTTTTATGGAAGGAAATTTGGCAACGCCTGAAGGTTCATACGGCGTTTTTCCTTAGCACGCCAGAGTGGCTGCTACAGTATTTTCATCTAGAGACTTTAACGCCACCACAAAAAAATTAGCTTACAGGTTGTGATTAAACATTTTTTCCTGGTTTATCAAATATATATTCAAATTCATAAAGTCAGGTGTTTTAAAATTTAAAATGTCACTAGTTTAACCGTGGAGTCAACTGGCACGTTTATTTTCAGTAGAACAATGTTCGTCGAGCTGGTAAAAAAGTCTGATCTTGATATTTTGACGGAAGACGTAGGTAGGTATCTTTTTAGCCGAAAGTTGAGAATATTTGGACCGCGTTAAACAGAAAGGAACCAAGGCACATCAGCTTTTACCAAATTTAACTGGGAAATTTAATTTTTTACATGAAAACGGTTGTGTGGATTTTCGTGCTTTCAGTGAATTTTCTCTACAGTACAATACAAATTCCTTAAAATTTTCAAAGGAATTCGCACAAACATTCTCTCGTAAAATATCAAATTGCCCAGTTAAATTTGGCAATAGCTGATGTGGCTTGGTTCCTTTCTGTTAAACGCGGTCAATTTATCTTTGAAAGTTTCAGATGATCGAGATTAAATTTCGAACAAACAGCATTGAACAATTAGGAGACAAATAAAATAAAAAATATTTCCGGGGAATCCGTGTTTTGATTTGGCAACAATGGACAGCCAAAGGTTCATACGGCGGTTTCCCTTGCAAAGCGGCAGTTTTCATCCCTAAACTACGATTCCTCCTCATCGCGGGATAAGCATGTCGGAAATAGTTACACCGTAACACGCCGAGTCGCGAGGAAACAAAATCGCTGCTAGTTCGCCTTCAATTTGGGCGACGCAACCCAACCTCACGCCGGAGTTGATTAAGTTGTATCAACCGATAGGCTGTATCCCGACGTTTCTACGTACCCTGAAAACCAGTCAGTTACATTCGAGGACATATCGATAAATTGACAGACACGCATGGCCACGTTATGGGAAAACGCCCTATATGAACACGAATGTTGCACAATATCTCCTGAAAAAGGACGTATTTTTTTAAAAAAAGTTATGAATATTTCTCATTTTTGAAGTTTAAGATGATTAAGATCAAGTTGCGGACAGACCTCACTGAAAATTAGAGGAAAAGCCACGTGATAAGTGGTTTAATAACAACTTTTATAAATCCAATGCTGCTTTGACACCCAGCTTATTTATTTCCATTTTTAAGTTGTGTTTTCTATCCTTTCGTTTAAGTCTCCGACCCATACTATCCGTGTTGTTCTTGAACATTTTTCCAGGAAATTGGTGTTTCATCAAAGGAAATTTCGCAACGGCGGAAAGTTCATACGGCGTTTTTTTCTTGCGAATGCAGCATGATTTTATCCGTAAACTACAATTCCTCCTCATCGCGCAATAAGCATGACGGTAATACGTAATAGGACGTATTTCTGTCAAACGGAACTACGTGCATTAGGTAAGACATGAGCCCTGAGACCCATAATAATAAATGCATAACAGGGCTCACGCCATGATGCACATAGTTCTGTTTGATTGAAATACGTCCAATTCATACAATGTAACGGCCGGCGCGGCGGTTGGAGCATCGCGCTGCTTGGAAACAAAATAGCTACGCTAGTTCGCCTTCAATTTGGGCGACGCAACCCAACCTCACGCCGGAGTTAATTAAGTTGTATCAACCGACTGGCTTTATTCCGAACGTTTTTACGTATTTACCTCTAGTATGAAAGGAGTTTCTACTCTAGTAGTTTCGTTACATTCTAGGAATTACGGATGACTTGACAGACAAGCTCGGCCACGCTGAAGAAAACACCGTATGAACATTCAAATGTTAAAAATGCCCCTCGAAAAAGACGCGTTACTGAGGAAAGATATGAATATTTTTCATTAACAGTTTCGGAGGATCAATATCAAATTGTGAACGATACCTTCACTGGTAAATTGCAAGAAAAATGTTCAAAATATTCCCAAGAAATCAGTGTTCATCAAAGGAAATTTAAACAGCCGTTGTTGCATACGCAGGGTTGCAAAGTTTAATCAAATTTCAACATTTCTTGGCCTTGCTGAAAGAGTTCCTTGACCACTGATCCCGAAATCATCGGAATCCTTAAAAAAAAAAGAATGAAAAAAAAAAAAAAAAATAGAAAAGAAGAAAGAGAAGGTTGATTTGAAGCAGCAATGCTAACTTTGAAGCACCACGTATGTTTGCTATATATGAGGTTGAGAATTGCAAATAGCCCAAATACGACAAACATTTACGCAGTGCCTACCAATATAGTAAATTATTCCATGCCCGATAAAGGAAAATTAGAAGAAAGGGCAGGAAAATATAAATAAGAGCGGATAGGTGCTAATATTAAGATCTATTCAAGTAGATCCAGAACCTGAACAAAAATCGCGGATTCAGTACCTTCTCAAGGCACCCGCTCTGCACATAAAAAAATTCCTGAAAACTCGGGAATGTCATTTGCGGATCCAGCGATTTGATAACACCGGATTTCCTCCATTTAAGCCTATGCTACATAATCGATTCTTGTCGGAGCACCTGGCCCCTCCAAGAATCGATACATTTCCAGAGGTTTAAATGGAGGAAATACGGTGTTGTCAAATTGCTGGATCCGCCAATGGAACGTCGAGGCGCGGAGATTTTGACTGCTCAGCCGCAGCTATGATAATTCTCCTGATTCCGAGCAAAATTTCCTAACTTTTCCAGGTTGTTTTCGGATTCACTAATTTTTTCAGGTTTCCTCTGACCCTTACGACCCTGAAACCGGTTGAGAGTGAAACAACGAGGCCATGATTTGTATGCTTCACGTAGAGCTTATTGAACATATCAAAAATTTCGTAAGTCAGCTCATGAGAGCGCGGTTGTGCCTAGTTGGTTTTATTAAAGGAATCGGTTCATTCCAACTTTCAGCTCGTGAAAAAACCAAAACCGACAAGGGCCAAATCAAAGATTGAAAACATTGTAATTAGGTAAACAAAGAGTTAGTGTTCAGAATAGAGAAAGGAAAGGAGGTGTCTGCATTTCGGGCATCTTGGAATTTTTTTAGATGACGAAGGTCGGTACGGCGACGTTCACCATCGATTTTATTGGAAATGGTGTAGTTTATAGACAAAGTGCATTCTACATAAAGTGTTTGAAATTCTATCATGAGTTGATTTAAGCAATCAAATCGGACGTTATGGTCTGTTTTTCTCACTTCGAATTCCGGATTTTGCTGACCAGGTTGTACCGACCTACGTCACAGGGTACACAATCCTCAAGATGCAAACACCTCCTATTTCTCTCTATGAGTGTTCAGGTCAGTAAAATTTTACCTCCATGATAATGCTTGTAACTTGTAAACTTGTCAGGAGAAATTTGGTGCTCAGCAAAACTCTTCTACTTGCCATGATGTAACCGGAAGTAAAATTAGTGGATCCCCTGATTTAACTTGAGTCGATTTTTGTTTTGTTGAGAACTGGAGGCTTTAATTATTGGCTGAAACTTTAAAGGTTTTCTCTTAATTATGAGTTAAATTTGGAAATATTTTTTGAGATTGTCACATTCTAAAACAATTGACAAGGAAAAGTGTGTTGTCAAGTTTAATTTTTCAGCATGTCCGGTGGTCCGATTTTAGCGTTATTAATCTTTCAAAACTTTGATGGGAAAATATTTTTTCATTACTGGAATGCTTTGGAATTTTTTTTGTCTCATCTTGGCAAAGAAATGGCAAAATTTAACTCTATGAGTCAGATCACTCCATCTTTCTGGAATCAGCTTATTTTTTAGGTAAGTAATCATTCCTTAATGATTGATAACGTTTAATGGTCCTTTAAAATTATCATGTTAAATACGTATCTGCTCAGAAATTCTTTCATGCGTATTTTTTTAAAGTTACCTATTTTTTACCATTAAAACTAAATTTAGTAAAGGTCATAATTGAAGTTAGAGAATAGAAGCCATTATAATTTTTGAAAAAGTGGGAAAATGTGCGGAGCAAGGAATACAACTCCATGAGTAGAAAGAGAAAGGTAAATAAGAATGACTGAATTTTTTGTAACTTCAGTTGTAGTTTTTGGGGGAATAAAGTAAACACACTTTAGTGCTTAACGACTGCTTTAATCATAAATTAATCAAGATTTGAGAGTTCAGTCACAATTCATACTCAGCAGTAAGATATTGATCTTAGACTTTCTAACAAAAAATATTTTGTTTCTTTTTCTCTTTTATCATTGCATGAGCTTAGAGACATGCAAACTTTATTGCTTGAGGAAAAAAATAAAGTTATGATAATACAATAGGTCAATAAATAGGAAACAAAACAGAAAAATAGAGTAGAAATAACAGAGAATTATAAAATGAAAATGTTATTTACTTAATCTGCTATATCAACAGAAAAACAATAAATTATTAACCACTTAAAGGTGAAATAAATCAGTGATAGAATTCTGGTGAAAACAGGAAAAAACTAAAGAACTTACAGGCTGTAGGAAAACCAATATGCCCAATTGTCATTATATGGAAAATTCAGAGAATATAATTCTAAGAGGGATGGTTTTAACTGCTATGTTCCTTTTTCTTTTTAAAAGAAAGTAGAATGACAAAATATAAAGGAGAAAATAAAAGGAGGCAGGAAAAAGAGAATATTTATCAAAAGGAAGATACATACTTAATAGAAATTGTCAGTCCTGAAATAGTGTTACTTTTGTGACAATGGAAGGAATTAATCTGTTGCCGGCTTTTGTAAATGCAACATTAAAGTTATTGATTGGTTGGCAGTTGTGATCGATTAAAACTATGTTCTTGGCTGAAGGCAGGCAGATAAAAAAGACAAAACAAAAATCTTCTAAACTGCGATATGAGTTATTTCATTTGCTCAATAATTTGTTTAACATATCTGATACCAGCTTTGAGTTCCATAAATTAACGCCAAAGTCTCTTAATTCTGATGCCCTCATTAAATTGAAACAAACTCTTGGCAAATTTTCAATGAAAAGACTGTTCACATTGTCCTGTCTGAGTGTAAGGTACAGGTATGAGGAGTGCAATTAAGGGTTTCTCAATGAAATTAAAATTAAAGTTGTTAAAACGAAGATTACAATTTTAAGTCCGGGTGATTTGTTTCACATTTAGAGCACAAGAAAAAACCAAATGGCTTGCAAATACCTTGCATCTCTAGTATGTAGTAAGTATGATGGTTGAATCATGACAACAGAAAAATCAGTGACGTAATCACTGATACCGTTCTGTTCACTTAAGAGAAATTCACGGACGGTCTCCAAGCTGCAGGAAAATGTTGAGTTTTAAGATCAGAAAGAGGGACTAGAATATACAAAATTCTTACGAAGGAATACTCAACAATACTTTATGAACTTAAAAGTCCTAAATACAATTAAATTTTTAGTCTATGCAATTTATGGAACCACAATAAACCTGGATCACAACAAACAGTACCCACGGTTTAATTACATAAAAATCACAGAGTCTTGTAAAGTTTCAAAATTGACTGACTTGAGCCAGTGAAAGAAGAAATGAATTTCTCACAGCTTCGAGATGCACATTACAATATTGTGTACCATGCACAAGATGAGCTAGCAGTACAGCCTACAAATTGTCAATGCTAAAAATATCCCAATATGAGAGAAGTTCTCATCATTTTAATTCAATAAAAATTTCGAAACACCAACATGATGTTTTAAACCAACAGCGAAACTTACTCAATCTTGAGATGAATCGGAGGTAGTAACAAAGTAATTTACTATCATGCAGAATTTTGAGCTGTGGTGGCTCAAACTACCACAGCTTTTTCTTTTTTGGAACTCTTCATTGGAATTTTCATTAATTTAGAGTGACTTAAAGCAAAAATTTATTAAACTTTTTACAAATTTATGAATTGGGAAAAAACCTTCGGAATTTGCCTTCGCCTTTTTTTTTTTTTTTTTACTAAAGGATACAAATTTCACTGAGGCAGCCCATTGAAGAATAAATTATTATTATTTTTTAATTCACTAATGCAGGACTAATACACTGTAGCAGAGCAGCGAACTTTGAATTTTTCAAAAATTCTCTTTCCATAGGTGTTGAAAAATTAATTTAAACAATGGCCGGGACACATTTAAATGATTTTGGACTATATCCAACAATACAAAAAATTCGCAAAAAGGGAATAGAGACATTTTTCCTAGTCTTCCTAGCTAAACAACATAATTATTTCTTATAACTAGATTCCCAAAGAAAACAAAACTTGTTTCTTCTTCTTCTTTTTACCGCCTGAGGTACCTCCATCCGCATCTGAAAAAATTGAGAGCACCGTAAGATCTTTTGCTAACCACACATCTGAACCGAAGCAACAAGAACTACCCATACTAGTAAGTTGAACTTTATTAGTTATCAATATTAGAATCCCTACTTCTTCCAAGGAACATGAAACTATTAAAAAAAGATATATGTCAATAATTATGAGGAGCGCGGTGAAAACTTTTCTGGAGAATTGCTTACTGCATTGAATGTATGCCCATGAGTTACCATACAACATTACCACAATTTCTGAGAAAGATATGGCATTGTCTATGAGAAAGAGTCCGTCGATTAAACCCAATCGAAACAAGAAATGTACTAAATTGAGTTATGTTTTGAATTTTGATGCATCATGGTGAGAAGACTCAAAAACTGAAATACCACCACCTGTCAGAATTATGAAATTAAAAATACTGCAACATCTTTCTACAGCAAATTTTCTATGATATAAACGTAAGTCAAATTTTTCTCCCAAAAAAATCTGACGGATTCCAAAATGTCATTACTAGGAAATTTTCTCAAACCAGAAAAACTGTCCATCCGGAGCCCTTACAACTGAGCATCATTTTAATGTACAGGCGAGGCGCAAGGATACTTACAGAGAGATACTCCCATTCCTCTAAAAACCGAAACTCAAAAAAACTTACAATAGATGTATGAATTGAAAGCTTGTGCATTTACCTGATGCTCCATGAAAGTTTTGTGCCAGTGACTGACTGAGAGTGTGACTTTCACTGGTAGTCGACTGCTTCAAAGGTGGTGAGGAGCTGATTGCTGGAAAATCTTCTACCACACGACGATTCTGATTCTGTTTACCGATGGATGGCCAAGCACTGGTAGCTTTTGTGACAGCAGGAAAACTTTTTCCATCTCGTAACATCTGTGGAAAATAAGAAAATGAATTAAAAAATGTGATGAAAATAATAAACGCACTTCTTTCAGAGTTTAACATTTCAGTTTTTCAAGTGGCTATCTTTCCTGCGGCCTGAATGTGGTCAAAATGATTCGAAATGAATCACATGGATAAAAAAAAAAAAAAAAAAAAAAAACCTGCGCAAAATTTGATTAAGAGACAAAAGAAGACAGGAGCCTGCATATACAGAAATTTCTGCTATGAGGCTGTTGTATTATTATCTTGCCTAAGTTTCTCCCAGCTTTTCCGACTGAACTATCACACCAGATTTGACTGTATCACCTAACATCCCGACCTGCTGGGATTGTCAATATCAACTAGTTTTGATAGGATTGCTGAAATTCCCTCTCCAGACATATTTGGATCGTCGACTTTAGGTTTGTGTTTTCTGTTGCAATGTCTGTCTCAATGGGATGGATACACATGAAAAAACGACTGCTCTTAAATGCAGGAGTCCTATTGTTCCTATCCCATAGAGAAGGTGGGTTCTGCAACTTCCAATACTCCAAGACACCTGTATCAGTCAAATTTAGGGACAAAGACAACTATCTAAAGAACGATGTAACTGAATTGACTGATGAACTCCAATCCAATGATAGAAAGAGTTTCATGAAGAAACGGCTGATGGATTGTTTCATTTGAATCAAGAGTCTCACCTGCGCAAAAGATAATGAGCTGGGATCTCCTGATTCATCCAGAGAGGCGGATGCCATGCCTGCTGCCAAAGATGAAAAAGAATCAGATGTTCCTCCCAATGAGGTATCAGACCTAAAGCAGAATGAAATTAGAAGTTAAAAAAATTAAAATACTATTTTGAAAACTTTTCTTTGCCATGACGGTTGTATGTGGGTGGAATGGGACAGACTGACTGACTTTGGTGCTTGTATGGTAATCTGGCGGTTATGATTTTATCTCAATTAATATTTCAATCTGTTGAACTCAAACCTGCTTGAGAAACTAGGAAAATCGAACATTGCACATGCATTTCAATAAAAATGTTAAAACAATTTAATAGTGGCGGTAAGGGAATGACGTTAAGACCGAAAACAGAGAATCCGCAATTCAACGGTGAAACTGCAGAAATGCATTCCTCGGTTTGCGGCGTTGCAGACTTCCAAGGAAAGCCATTTTTTGTTTTCTACTTGGAAAACTACAGAATATTATTTCTCTGCCACTTTGGTGATTTATCATCTCCATATAAAGAATGTTATGTGAAAACGTCAAGTCATGATATTGGTTCAGTCTCCTAAAGAAAAATGAAATAGGAGAGGATATAATGAAACGCCGCTACCGAGACATATAATTTGTAGTTTTACTGTCGAATTAGAACTTTAACATGTCTGCTTCAACTTTCCTGGTTCCAGCATGGCAAGTCTAAGGAAACAGCAATTTCACAGCCATGATTTGGTGACTTACAAAGTGCTGCTAGTACAACCCACATACAAGCTTGTCACAGAACGGAACATTGTTATGGTAGTCTAAAAAAAGTGCAATTAATGTTTCATAGCAATTTTTACATTCCCAGCCAGTTTTCTGTGCCCCTAGCCTTTACTTATTTCCGCAGCATGGTGAGACCAATCACTGCTGCTCCCTTTGGGTTGATAAGGTAGTTGACATGTTATAAATTGTATTCAAAGAAGGATGGAAATTTACCCAGGAGGTGCTGGAAAGGCCTCATTTAAGCCACATTCTGGAAAATGCTGATATGAATCCAAACGGATACGTCGTCTTGGTTCAACAAACTGGCCATACATTTTCTTCTCATCAGCTTCAATTTTCCTTTCACGCCTGCGTTCCTCTTTAGCTCGCTTGCAACGACGACGTTCTCTTCCGTCAATTTGATCTGGAAAGAAAAGTAGGTACACTTTCAATTCTATTGCTTGTCATTCACAAAGGCAAAAGTCATCCTGAAGGGAAATTTTTTGAAAGCGGAAAATTTAGTTTGAATGAACCTCAAATTTAACTTTCTAAAGTACACAATTTTGAGAACTTGGGACTTAAAGTTAAAGACTTGAATCCGCTTTAAACTGTCAAAATACGGAAATAACGGACTTCATTTTGTCCAAACCTTGAAATTTATTGAATTAGTGTTTTTGGTGCAAAATTTGCGGGTTCGTGTTGCTAATTGAGTCCCACCTCAATATCAAAACAATCGCAAATTGGCAGGTTCAACTCATGATTCGCAATAGCTAATTCTTCAGGCCCCTACTTAATATAAGAAAGAGCAAAAACCTCACCTCTAAAACTTTCCATGACTGCTGGAGACACCAGTTCCCCAAGTTCAATTTCCACAACATCGAATTGGCAAGTTACCGGCAGATGTTGTAAATAACGCAACCGTTTCCGCAACTCTTCTGTCATTGAGCCAGACTCTTTTTCCAAAACCCGTCCAGTAATCCTTTCAGGGCAGTTTTCCAGAGAGCCATAATGCATTTCCAACATGCGAGTGTTAAGTGCATGCAAGTAAACTTGCTGACCATCTGAGGCTGTGACAAAAAAGCCAAATAATTATGAATGAGGGAGCATAATGAAAAATCTTAAATTGACTGGCAGATATAGGAATTAAGAGCAGCTTTAGGACAGCAGGAAGTAATGTTCTTCAATTCTCAAATTCTGGATTAGAGCTACTTTTTGGAGGAATACTTCTTGATGCGTTTCATGAGGATGAGAAACATTAAGAAGCACATTTCCATGCCCTCCTAGCGAGGACTGTCCTCAGACTTCCGTAAAACTGTGCTTTTCCGACTTATTATGTGCAAACCTGATGGTGAGTACTCTTTTTAGCCTCACTTAAAATCATACAAGCAGATGGCAAAATATGGGAGCTGTAAACTACTGACTTTAGGACTCCAAAAGTGGCAGATGAGGGACAGAACCAATGAGACAGTGACAGTGAGACGATGGACAGAACCTATAAGAATTTTATTGGGGTTGATATGCAGGTGCATTAGTTCATTTAAAGACCATAGCTCACAGGAGGCAAACTACCCTTTTAACGATATCCTGCTCACTTCACTCTGCCCATTACATACCACTTATTGGGAAAATACTATAACATTGGTGATGACTAAGTCGGTAACGCTACTTCTTGATTTTGTTAGGTCTGTGATTAGATCTGAAGTTGATGCAAAGGGGACAATTTTGTCTCTCTCCAAAGCCAAGAGAACAAACAGTGGAACAGAGCAGTACTCATGATAGTTATGGTCACTAACAGCATCAGCGCCAAACAAATCCATCAGTATGATCAAATTAGGAGTGAATATGTTAACATTGAGAACTAATAAGGATTCTAAATCAGTTACAGGGGGTTCTGTGTGAACCAGTTTGATTCTATGAAATAATAAGTGTCACTATTGCAAGGTAAGATTCTGATCAAAATGTAAAGCAGGTGAGACTAGGGAACAAACCTTGATAAAAGTAGTAGTATTTGGAGTTCTGATTGTTGATAACAGGGGTGGCATGGAACTCCAAATCTTCTGGTCTGAAGCTGTCTTTGAAACTATTAGCATTTTCTTCACCACCTTCGCTGCTAGTGCTTTCGTATCTGGTGCGATTTTCTGGTTCTTCGGTGCCTGGGATGTCGACTGGCTCCGATTCATTAGCTGAATCTTTAATGTTTTCATTAACATCTGCTTCTGTGTCCGAGTTCCAATAGTCTATTGTTTGCGTCTTCCTGGCTGAATTGGATTGGTTGTCATCCATCACATTTTCTTCTACATTCTTTTCCTCAGCGGTAACAACAGTTTCAGTATTTCTTCCCAGCTGAAAAGAAGCAAGAAGATGAGATTTAACTTGGACCAAAACATTGGGATTTAAGTTCAAGAATCAGAAATATGTTCTCTATCAAATGATCATATTACTGTTTCACACTAATTATTACAGTATTAACTCTGTTTTAAATGTTTTTAAAATGACAAAACAGAATGTTTACTAAGTGAATGATCGATGAGATAAGGGGCAATAAGTGATGCCGAAGTGGGAGAGCAAATAGTCATATACTAAGACCTTGGGATTTGACTTGCAGTTTGGAAGATTCTACCAGGCTTTGCAGATGAGCAACTGGTCTGAGGCACATTTGCATTTTAAATGAAATGCTTATATGATGAAAAGCATGTAAACTGATGGAAAATACTCTTTCTTCACTTTTGAGGTTTTTGAGATGCAACAAATTTCACTTCAGCATACCTACCTCCTATATTTAATGTTTTAATATTGAGTTTTTGTGCTCAGTCCGTCAACATTAAAAGCTGACACCTAAATAATAAATTTCATATTGTTTTAGGACTTCACAACTTTGCTTACCACTTTCAAAACTGCAGCTTTCCTCTCTCTTACAGCATTAAGAGCCTGCTCGACGAAACAGATCTCGGGACATCCTTCATCTTCTTTCAGTTGATTTATAAGTTGCTTTTCCTCAGTTTCAACTATATTCAAAACCTAAAACAGGCAATGAAATTTTCATTTGCTGCTTTTAAAAAATGGTTAGTCAAGATTTACCAAGAACTGTGGGAGGTCTGGAGTTGAAATTTTTTTCAGCAGCTGGTCATTGCTAGGACTGTAGGTAAATTGTAATAAACTCATTCAGTATGTAGTAGTACGGAGCTACTACATATTTAACATATTTTGATGAAAATCTAAAAAAGATTTTACAATCAATAGAATGATGTAGCATCATGGATGCACATATTTTTATCTGGGAGACTCAATCAAAAGACTTCATCAAACTATGTCATTAAGGCAGATTGAAACAGCTCTGCTTTCTAGGTATCAGGTAATTAGCATTATCGGACTTATCAGATTGATAAGTCCTCCTAATTAGGAGGACTTCATCTTCATGGGTAGACCTATTTGAACTTTTTTCAGAGCATGAGTTGGGTTTAAGTAAATGCGTATAATAATGGCAAAAAGACCCCTCCTTACTACAACTTGGGATTTTACCTCATCATTGCCAGCGACCAAGAGTTTGGCATAGATGGTGTCCAATAACCCTTCCGAGACCGACAGGGGTTTTCCAAAATCGTAAGCATCAAACTGAGAGACAGGAACACACTGCATCACACCTTTTTCACGTTTCATCAACTTCAAAGTTATTGGCTCACCAACAGCACAGAATGATCTTGGCACGGCAACAACGCTGGACCAAAAAAGAGTTAACATGAGGAGAAGGCATAATAATTTCAATTTCTTTACTTCCAAAGTGTCCTTCGACAAACTCATCAGTTTGTAAATTCTTGTGTAGTCTGGACGTTATTCACCCTTATAACTCAGATAAATACTCACAGCCATTCATAAAAGGGTTCTTCCTGAGGTGAGAATTTTTTGAAGCCCACATTGAAAACTTTTTGCCATAAAATAAAGATGAGAATAGCGGATTTTTTTAAATTAAAAGAAAGAAAACAAAGATTGGGAGAGAATCCTTAATATTATGGCGCACTAGACAGGCTGTCAAAAAAACCTTACTATTGAAGTTTTTGAGTTTTCCTTGGGTGAGCACAGATGTACAAATTGTGGAATAAGCGGGGTTCCTTCTAAGGCAGAGACAATATTGAAAAAAGTCAGTCTTCATAAAAATTAAGGGCAGCACGACAAATTTTGGAGCATTTCCTGCCAGCACAAGGTCTTCAAATTTTGTTCATTTCTTTGGATTGCAGTTTGAATAACTTGGAGACATTTCTCTTGATATGAACCAGCTGATGTTTGGAAAGTAAAATAAATTTCTACGTTACTGAAATGAGTTTTATTCCAAAGCTCAAAATAATGAAACAATTGGTAATTCACTACTTGATAATAATGGTAAAATATTTTAAATTGATGTTCAATGAGTAATTTGATTGTATTTTGCAAAAAGGAACCGAGGGCATTCAATGTCGCTGAGATTGTGCAACTTCTTTCACCTTGCAAATATAAACTGAAAATCCTAACAACTTTTATCTTTACTTCTAATCAACTATAAATTCAAAACAAAAATTACCACTATAAATGTAATTTTTTGCATGATTTCAATGATTTTATCGCAAAAAATGTTAACTGCACAACCGCAGCAACATTGGAATGCTATAGGTCCTTTTTGCAAAATGCAATACAATTATGATTACAGCAAGTGTGATAGATCCTCACCTTTTCAGATCTCCTTTATGGACTGCTTCATAACAGATGGGACATTTGCGCCAAGTTTTGTCGGACAAAGCAAGATAGTGCAGAATACAGGACCAACAGAAAATGTGTCCACATCGAGTCATTTTAGCTGCGACTGGGTGGAAAAGGCATATGGGACAGTTCACTTCACCAGTAATTGGCATTCTCTGAAAAATGGGTATTGACCAAAAAAATTATCAATGGTTGAAAGTTAACTTTAATCCAGTAGGCCAAAATAAATAAAGCAAAAAATCCATCACTGATATTTACTTTTGCAAAGGCTATTAGGCTATTAAACCACGTTAAAAGCTCCTCCAATTTTCCCGATTTATTACTCAAAATTTCCAAGAGAAATGGTTATATTTCTGTTATTTGATCAGGTAAAAATATTATACAATGAATGACCTTTTCTTTCAAAGAGGGAAATATAAGAAAAGTAGTTATCCTTGCATGGCAGAGAGGAATGTCAGTAACCAAATTACCACTGACTCTATTAAGTTTCTGCTTATATAGATGATTTCTTCATTAACAATAATAGCAGTCTAACTTACGATTTGTTCGACAAATTCCCAATCCACAAGAGCATCAGGATCAGCCAAATATACAGAGTACTCGCCATCAGCACGTACAACAAATTGACAACTGAAAAAAAAACCATCATCATAAGAGAGGGATATCAATTCCGATGAATTGAAAATACAGTGTAATTGAATACTCACATAAAAAATGCAGCTTAATCAACACTGTTTTCAGCTGCTTCTGTGCGGGAAAAATTTATTTGTTTCTTTAAAATCTATGCTCCTTTCTACCAGTATTTTTGCACCTTTCATTAAAAATTTTGGGAACTTTTACCAAAACCTCTTTTCTAAATACTTACTATGTAAATCAACTCTGATATTAGGAGGGTTTGTCGATCATGTGATAACTTTTTTTAAGAAGCTCTTCTTTCAGTAGCATCAGATGTATAAAATGATATTAATCGGTGCATTTCGTTTTGGCATTTACATGCGTTTACCCATAGAAGTTGAATTTTGCAAATTGAAAATTCAATACTTAGGTAATTGAGTAAATATTCCTTGCTTTAGGAGTATTTCCAGACAGCTCTAGAAAAATCAGTACTATTTGTGGACTAGTGATCACCCTGAACGAACGTAGTTTAGGTATTTAAAATTCAAATGTTCTTTTGGTTGAGCCGTTGCCTACGAGAATGGAGAGGCCGTAACTACGTTTCTGTGATTTCACGCTAGTAGATAAAACTTGGCCACGGTTTAACATGTGTTCTTATGGGAGAACGCCTGACGCGTGTTTCTTTCGTGCCGATATCTTCTTGGGGGTTGATCTGCTGCAAAAATTCGTAAAAACCTTTTCGAAAGGGGATGAAATTTCACTTAAGAAAACTAACTAACCAATACGTCACATTGTCTTATAATCGAGGAAATGAAAGCGTAATACCAAAAATCGTTACTCCACTCAGATTCAAACAGGCCGCTCGCGCAACTTTGGCGGATTGAGGGCCACTTCGCGCAACTTCGGCAGATCGAGGGTCACTATGATTGGTCTATGCAGCTACTGTCTCACTCATCAATGCACCAAAGACTTAGAGATGCTTGTTGTTTTCGGTAAATATCTACTAGCTTGAAGTCACAAAACTGACTAGTTACGGCTCCTCCATTCTGGTAGGCAACAGTTGAGCTAGGGAAGCAATTTAATAACACTCTGGGGAAGAAACGAAAAAAAGTTGAGAACCTAAAAATTGAATAAATTGAAAATAAATGAGGGAAATTAACTAACTTGGCTTGAAGAAACTGCTCCTTGTTGTACTTATGCTTGTGAGTCGCCATCAAGTCCCGTGTTGTCATGTGTCCGTAATGTTGTTGCCTTGAACTGTTGCCAAATCCGCCCCATTGCTCACCGGGCCTTGGGGCATAATGGAAGTTCAGCAAATGGTTCAAGTTGTGTTTTTTACTTTCACGTTTTACCACAGAACCGTATTCGGCCCCATCGAATTCATCTGCTACCTGTAACATCATTTATTTGTAAAGAAACAACATTTAAAATGAGAAGAGGCAATACAACTTCTGAGTTTTCCCCTCCCTTCAGACTTGGACATTCACGCATTCGCCTCATGTGACGAGTATACTCGTCAGCGCAAGCTCGGGATTTATCTCAGTTGACAAGTCAATTTGCAGCATCTCTCAGCGTTGCTATGCAATTTTTTTGGTAATGTTTTTTCGCATTTCCAATTGATGGCATCTGAAGCGTTGCAACGCTGACAAATGGCGCGAATAAACTCGTCAGCTAACATTATGTCCTAGGCGCCCTCTGACGAAAATACTCGTCATATGAGGTGAATGGGTTAGGTCAAAGAGCCGGGATGTCTATTCCGGGACAAATTCGATCCAACATGGACACTTCTTGAACACGAGATTTAATTACAAAAATTTGAAGGAGTAGTTTACCATGCAATTTTGAAGCATTTTGTACCTGACTTGAAAAATAAGATCTCAAATGATAAGGGTTCTGTACCATGACTAGATGGAGTACTTTGAATTTAACTTATATTTTAGGCCAAGAACTAACATATTAATTTTTGTACACTTTTGAAGCTGACTTAAATACTGATTGTATCTACCTCGGAACACGTCTTTCGACCATTATTGAATCCCCTGGAGCGAGGTCTTTTGTCCAGCGACTTGGTCTTCTGAGTAATGGGTTTCCGATTCTGGTCAAACTTCGAGGTGCTGGGGCCCTGAGGCTCCCGGCGTTTGGAGCCCCGAGGAAATGATTTGCTACCATCTAAAAAAAAAAAGAAAGAAAAATACATAATTAGAGGACACATTGACCGATGAGTCAAAACTTACACAAACATTTAACAGCTTTTGAGCCTCCTCATGAGATCTTAGTCTCACTCCATGTGACTTTGGTGCTTCTAGTGTTGGAAGGATTTAGAAGGATGAGTAGAATGTCTTGGGATTCTAGTTATCATGTGAATATTTTAGCCTTACCAGCCTGCATAGAACTAAAAATTGCGTGGGCAATATTAAAATGTTTCATTTACCGGTTCTCTTTCTTAAATGAGAGAATCACACTTTCAACATTTTTTTTTTTAATTTTGTTCAGAAGTAAGATGTTTAATTGTTAGGTTCCGCTATCCACTTCACTTTTCGATCATTACATAACAGGAGGAAAGGAATTCCTACACCCTAAATTTCCTGTTCCATCAGATTAGCAAACATGTTAAGTCTTCCTTATCAGAAGAAAGAAGATCTATAAGGTAGAGGCTTCAACCTGAGTGACATTAAACATGATCTTTTCATGGAAATACATGTTCTCAATCTTGAAGGAAGTTGTCGTCCACTAAGGAGCAGAAGTGAAAAAGCAGTTCCATCATTCACAAGCTTCTCTAGCTTGGAGGGTTGCTCACTCAAGAGAACCACAAGGATCCATGAAAAAGAATGAATGTAGATTTAAATTGAATGACGCTGAACACAGCGACACACGGAAGTGGACAGTTGACATGAGCAACAGTGAACTGCCCAGGGTCCTCTTCAGAATGATTTCAGAGATTACAAGAGGAACAGCTTGTCAGGAGTCCATTAGAGATATATTCCAAAACGGAAATCAACTTGCAGACCGATGTGCATGCAAGGATTGACAGTCTGTACGCATATGATAGTTTACATACTACGGAGAAGTGTCTGGAATGATAGCCGGGAAGCTTGAATGAAATGGAACTAGTAGGAGTAGATTACATCCTTCTGTAATGTGCATTGTGTATCTCCTGGAAAATTAGGAGGCCTAGTGCTCATAGAAAATAGACTGTTGAAGGAAGTCAGGCTGTGCAAGTTGGGCATGAATTGCAGCCATTGACCTGAAAGTATGTGATCATGACAAAAAATAATAATGGAGGTCAAGCAAATAGGCTTCATGAAATGACATCACTTTGCAGCCGAAGTAATCAGTAAAGATTGAGACATCCGAATTGAGTATGTAAGGATTTGAGCATTCCAAATTGAACGAAGGAGTGGTCGAGATATAGGATAGTGACGGCCAAAGAGTGAGGCAAGAATAAACGAACATTACCGATCGGAGTAAGGAAGGGTTATCTCGTTGGAACGGTACATAACAATGGAGGTGGAGGATGCCTACGGAGATCTCGTCTTACCTTGGCTTTTTCTCGAATCAGAGCTGCTCCCTTTGGCTAAAGGTTGAGCAACACGATTGAGAATGTTCTTGTCCATGTTTAATTCTTCTAACATCTACAGTGGATAAGTGGGAGATAGACTCTCCGCATGGAGGGACAACAAAAAGTTGAGGGCTCGACATTTTCAGAGGGCCATGGTAACAATCACAACACGATAAAAAAGTTAATCCGCGATTGAAAACTTGCAATAAGGGCTAGTTGGGTTGGAAAAACCTAAAGGATCACTCAAAAGGGAGCAAAGCTCTCCCTGTCGTTGGTAACGACACCAAATTTGACGAAACTTTCCCTCAGTCGCTTTCAACGCGACAACAAATCTGAAACTAAAAGATGGCGGCAGGGATTCTCCATTTGCCTGATAGTCATTTAGGTTGCCAAATCAGCAAAAATATTTATGTAATTTATTCACACTAATAAATGTTGCAAAATTAAAAATTCTAGACATGACTTAGCAACCTTCATAGTCATGTGACTTTCCCAGCCTCTTCAATATACAGGATCTGAGTTGTAAAGTTTCAATCAGACATTAATGCCATTTTGAGAATTCGTGATGGATACGCAATTACATTTACTTTTTTCAAGAAAATTATTTGAAATTTTTCTTAAAATTCTTATCCGTATCCTGGAATTTAATAATCGATGAAAACTTGTCAATATTTCAACGATTTTAAACCTTGTTTCAAATTGGCAACGCTGTACAGCTCACTCGGTAAGCGACCTCTGTAGTACAAAACTTGAACTACTGTGCTCAACGAAAGTGAAACAGTACGTAAAAAAATCAACAGATGTCGCAGCGTGTCGTAAAAAAGAACGTAAACAAGAGGACAAAAACGAAAAATAATGGCGGTTGTTGGCTTCCCTCACGCTTGGCCGCAGGCTGCCGCTATCGAAGTTGCGTTCGCGGACGCGAGCTTTGGTCGCGAGATTCCTGGCGTCAACAGTTTTGAGCAAATCGCGATGCCTCGCGGCCGATTGTTATGCGCGGCGTAATGTGTCGTGAATCACCTGTTGCTCGTGTTCTTGTTCTTCCTCTGATTGTGAAGTGATAATTTTGTTTATCTCGATAATTTCATGTGCTTGATAAGATGGGGAATACTTCAACCTCAAAAATGGAATCTCCACCCCCTGTGGAATTCCCTCGTTCGACCAACATTCGAGCTAGCATTCGGACCAAGCTCCCGATGCCCGACCAAATGGAACTGGAAAGGCGGTTTACTAAAGTTTTGGTGAGTAGATTCATATATTTTCTCAAATATTCCTCCAAGTCTGCTGATTTTGTTGTGGTTTGGGTTCACCGGATACAGCTCCTTTCTGGTCCATAACCACAACCAGTAGGCAGCTGTCTTCATCTGATCACGTTTGGACCATAACCATCCCTAACAGTATTTGAATCAAACTTTTAACTTTCTTTTCTTGAAGGGGGAGAAAGCTTGTGCAGCTAGATAACTTCAATTGAACAAGTTACCTGGTAACTAATCAGCTGTTTAATGGTGCTAAGGAGTTGAGGACGGTCCGAACATTGTCGCTGGAATGAGCTAATTTTTGGCTTTGGTAGCTAAATAACTCATAATCATTTCCTTTGACTGTTTAATCTGATAGCACCTGAGGAAAGACTTGATCATTTAATATCTTAAATTCTGTATTTTCATGGAATCCCATTATAAGTGTAGGTTTTGACCATGTTGCTGGTCTTATAATCAGTCAAGATGATCAGTCTCACAGTGGGGAAAAAGCTTAGCCAGAAATACTGTAGCTGATGTATCAGACAAAATCTTCTCCAGCATATTTATGACACAGCCTCAAGTGCATGATGATTTTGTGTTTTCAAGAGTTATTTTGAATCAATGAGTAGACATCAATTCAGGATAACCTAAACGACTGAGCTCACTTTTATTTACTAGCTGTCCTGTGCCATTGCAGGGACTACATTAATTAATATGACAGAATGACTAAAGTCCCTTGCAATGTAATTACTTACTTCACTGGCCCCACTTTAGGACTGGTAAACAAGTCAGGAAATAAAAATCTTCTGTGAGCATGCCAGGCTTCATGTAAGAGAGCATGAACTTCATCCACCAGATAGGAATTTTTTTTTTTAATTGGAGAATTTTCTCCATATCTCAGCCTCCTCTACTGTTATATCAACAAATATTATCAAATAATTATTATCTTGTACTTATCTAAGTTGAGTCGTTATCAAATCGGTCAGATCGTATTTAAAAATTTAAGTACCTCATTCTCAGTCCTAGGAACCGCCAAAGTGCGAAATCGCATACATTCCTCGGTGACGTTGCAGACTTTCCGTCATACTTAATTCTTTCTTTGGAAAACTAGTCAACATAATTCCTCAAAAACTTCTTTGATTTTTCTCTTCTGTTAGCAAAATATTTTGTGTAAATTTGAAGCTGTCAAGTTTGCTTGTTCCTCTTTGAAAAAATTAAATGACAGCTAAAATGTTGAAACATCGCAATGAACTGAGATACTGATTATGCAATCCGGCCATCAAATGATGGTTAGGTCATTAGGTTGCTAATGCTACTGTTTCAGTGGTTAAGAAATTACGCCCTGCTCTTTACTCTTCAGTTATTCAACACATTTGAACAAGATCTCTGTTAATCCAAGCCAAGTTTACAGTGGGCTTTTAGCATTTAATATTTTCACTGTCGTTTCCTTGAACCAAAAATTTTGGTAAATTTCCCACGCATTGCCCTGTAATTCCACTTGGATCCAGCACTGTGTTGTGAATGGAAGTAGTCTTTTCTAATGTTTAATGACATCAATTTTCAAAAATAGTTCAAGTTTGGGATTTGCCACTATGTTTTGTGAATCTTGAAGAAGTTCCGAAGAATTTTGGAAGGTAGCAGTACATTCTTAAGTTCAATGGCAACAAGAAAACTTCTAATGGCTCTCGAAGATGAAATCTTGAACATTCGCGGTCACGACTATTTTTTTCCCCACCCCTCTCCCTCCGCCCCTCCTGATTCATTTTTCCGCACAAATGGTAAAATTGGAAGCGAAGAAATCATTTCCAAAAAAAATTTCGGAACCAAATTAGAATTTTGAAATTTTTAACCAATCCAGTTAAGTTGCGATCAGAAAGTTTTTTCTTCCTCGGTTTTTATGAATGGCGTGGCAGCCGCAAGGCCGCTGCGCTGCCGCGTCGTCAACTCTAGTTTCACCCATTGTTTGGACTCGATATTATTTTCTCCGCATTGGCTCTCGATAAATATCGGATTCATTATTTTGCATAAGAGGCGATCAGATTCTAACGTGGCTGTCAATTCAGTCATCGCCAGGTCGGTGAACGGACCTCCCTCCCTCCCCATCTACTTTCCACTCGCGCCCGTGCCTAGTAAAATCTGGAGATTTTTTCAGCTCTACCTATTCATGGCTGCGTTTGTGAGTTGACAGAGCGCTGCACAATAAACGCCAGTGAAAACGCCCTTTGACGTTGTCGAGTATGTCACTGATTTGTCAGTGCTCACCAGTGTCGAGGGTTCTTGATCGATTATTTGAAAACTCGATTTTTCAACCGGAATAATCAATTTAATCGCATCGATTTTACTGGGTGCGATTACTCGTGTAACTCGATTTTCCCCCTAAAATCGAAAATTCCGATTATTGCTGCCCTATTACACTAAATCGGCACATATTTGGGCGAACGTAGCAAATTTCCCGGAAATTTTCATTCAATTTTTTAAAATTTTTATGTGAGTGCTAGTTATTGAGCCTTCGTAGGTAATCCCCGATTTTTTAAAATTGATTTTTCGGAAAATCGATTTGTTTGTGAAGATCTCAATCCACGAAATTGGACTCTCGAAGAAAATCGAAGTGACTCGATCAATCGATTTTTTCGAAAAAATCCAAAATACTACTGCTTACTATCAGTTCACAGCCCCTTTCATTGAATTTACGTACGCGAATACCTCCCCATGGTTCTCAACGGGACCCATCGTCTTTCTGAACACGAATTGATCGGGAATATTAAAGGTTTGCACGTGTAATTGATCCATTTCATTTGAGGTGATTGGCGTTTAGTGTAAGGCAAGTTTTATCTCCTCGCTTGGACGATGGGCGAAAATCTTCTGCAGCCTGTTGCCGGAAAAAGCAGAAGCTGTATGAGGACTTCATGTCTTCTGCCAAACATAGGGTGCGCGGCGAGGGTGAGTGGGTGACAGAATTTTGTGCATTACATTTGAAAAAAAAAATTTCAAAGGTTGACAACAGCCCCTTCTCACCCGCCCCCACTTGGAGTCGCCGCCATTTTTTTCCTTTCCTGAGGGTCTCCGTGAAACCCAGTGTCCACACACTCTCTCTTTACGTATAAATACTGTATGCGAGGGTACATACTCTACATACAGAGATGGGTAAAAGAAACGGTCTACACGCCATAATATATTCAATTATTGAGTTAAAATTTTCCAGTCTGGACTGTTGTCCTAATCATTGTCGAGGGGGAAACTTTTTAGGGGGGTCCCGACCCCCAACCCCACCCAGGGTACACTGGAAAAAAAACACATTGTATCTAGAGTCCAGACTCTTAAAAACATCGACTAGAAAAAATACTCTTGATTCAATCCGATTTAAGATTAAATCAAGAACCAAGCCTCTTAATTTGAGCGGATTTCCTTTTGATTTAAGCTTAAATCTGATTGAATTAAGAGTCCTTTTTCTTGTCAATATTTTCAAGAGTCTGGACTCTAGATCCAATGTGTTTTATTTTTTCCAGTTTACAGGTAGGGGTGCACCCTCTCCCCAAAATATTTACTTTTTCAAATGAGGACCCCCACGCGATACATGAAGTTACGGCGTACCAAGCGTTTCATTTGCTCGCATCCCAGTTTGAACGATGGTGTTCCCTCTACGCTGAGCGCTGATGGGCGGTTTCCTGATGGCTGGTGATCATGTTTCGCTTCCGGAGAAAGTGACGGCGATTTTGCAACGGGGCGGCGGCTGCGGCGCGGGTCGGTTTTCGGTGACCGATCATAGACCGATGGCAGATCCGCCCTTTCATCGTGACAATGATGGAAACCGAGTCCGAGCTCAGAGCACCCAGCTCAGACCACTGACCGGCAGCCGCGATGGAAGTTCCATTCGTCAAGCATGATCGCCCTGTTCGAGTCGTTAAATCCCCGTTGCCACGCTCGTTCCATACGTAGACTAAACTCTATTTGCGAGCAATGAGCACGCTAAAGAGATATCCTCACAACCTTTGGTTTGCCCAACACCATGGTGTCTAGTTTTTTTAAAAACCGGGGAAAAGTGGGATTCATCAGGGAATGAAAATTTACCGAGAAAATCAGGGAAAAATCAGGGAATCTGTTCCGGGAATCTCTTCTCGAACCACTCAGGGATCATTTCGTTTTCAAATTTGGCGGTCTAATCTGACGTGCGCCAAAGAAATGGCTGTAAGATGAATTAAAATCTATATGCATATCTGAAACTCTGGAAAATTATATTCTTTTCTTCAAGAGAATCCCGAGAAAGTGGGAGAAAACTTCGGTTTCTCATCAGGGAATGAGCTCCTGAAAATCAGGGAATGAGCTTTGCCAAGAAAACTAGACACCATGCCCAACATGGACCCTTCTTTTATCCGGCAGTGGTGAATCCTTTAATTTGGGTCATTTTGCCCCTCTGTGTCTCTGTCTTTCAATATTTGAAAACACATCTAATTCGTGCGCGAGGTACTTCAGCCCGTCGATTTTAGACTCTCGTCCCTTCAAGCGAATCCGTACGAGGGACTTAAACGCAGGGATGCAAAAAATTCAAAGCTTTCTCCCATTTTCAACTTAAATTCATGATAGCTTCCTCTTGTAACCGAAGGGAAACCCTATTCACCCCCAAGATCGAACATTTCCACCATTAAATCACCCTATTCACCCCCAAGATCGAACATTTCCACCATTAAATCGCCGTAAAATTTCAAACCTCGGAAAAATTCCGACAGGTCTCCTCCCAATGTTTCTATCTTTCCATTTGGCAACGCCTGAAGGCTCATACGGCGTTTTTCCTCAGCAAGGCAGTCTTGAAGCCCCGAATTCTCCAAGAATGATGCCATCGTGCTTGCATCACGTCCTCGGCAGGCAGGAATTCACATTCGGACGCAAATTGTCCGGAGATCGATGACAGAAAATTCGCAGGCTCTAGTGTCAGCGCGAGGAGCGAAGCAACGCGCAACGGTGACCCAGTTCCGGGCGAGTCGTCGCTCCGATGTTTGTTTACCAAT